TTTGTGGAACTGTAAACACAACTCAATGAAGCACTAAACAGATGCTGAAAACCGTACTGGTATTTCGCACGGCAAAAGTGAGGGGGGGGGGGGGCGCAAAACTCAATCTCGCCTAGGGCAACCAAAGGGCTAGAACCGGCCCTGTATGGCGGGGTAGCAAGGCTTCACACGCCATTCTTTTGGCTCCTCCCCCAAATGAATCATGCGTCAATACGCGCCTCGTGGATACGCCCCCTCCGTTACTGGACGCACGCCCCGAAGCCTCGGCTCATCTCATAACATCCCTACCTGCAACCTTTGACCCGCCCTTTCCTCCCGCTAAACTTTCCCCTATTGGATGTAGCTCTCTTCCAACAGCTAGCCTCTTTTAGAGGCTTATCCTTACTGCTGGTGCCCCCCCCCCCCCCATGATAAAACAGGCCATGATGCAGCTATATTAAAGATATTTGTATTGATTCTATTGTATAATCTGTTCTTTGAGGAACAGCATTTTAGCTTTAATTGGTTGTAGGCTATAATCATCAAATCATCACTGAAATGCATCTTTCTGTGTGAAATGACTATTATCAGATTTTGAGCTGAATAACTACATTAGATAAGCTTTTTCATAATATTTATTGAGATCCACTTGTATTGTGAACATTTTAATCTTTAAAAGTGCAGAAGTGCTTAAGCTGATAGAACCAATCCATCACCCAGTGGAAGCTGTAAATGAAGACATATGAGCTCCTGCTAGCTTTTATTTTTGCTCTTGGTGTAATGAATGTCTAGAGATTAAACCCTAACCCTGCCTCTGCTTTAAAGCTTTCAGTTCTTTTAATATTAACAGATGCTGTTAGTAACATTATTTATGCACCGCGGTTCTCTGGAATATCACATAAAATACAGCATAAAATAAAGGATAACACCAGAGGGCGGATTTAACATCTAAAGGTTTCTTAGTTATAAAATGATGCAGATTCTTGTCTTGTTTTTGGTTTTGCTTTTTTCACAGGAATCAGTCTAGAAGTTCTAGTTCAGGAGAAACAAATTAAAAACCAGCAGGGTCCAAAAAAAAGAAAATCAACCAGTAAAGGTCTGGAAACAATTTTAATTATTATCTGTTACTTTAAACAGAATTTAACACTGAAATTAAATGAGGTTTTTATGCATCGATAAAAACCTCATCTACATTGACTTAAAAAAAAAAATATATATATATATATATATATATATATATATATAAATAATAGAACATTTTTCCATTTTAAAATCTAAAGTGTTTTTTTATTAGAGAACAATCGTTCAGTTTGGTTTATAGATAATTTCCTGATTCTCATATTTTCTCAAACCCCTGAACTGATGGTTTGTTATTTTCTGTCTTTTTTCTGTCTTAATGTTGGCAGTGGGCTTTAGGCTGCCCTGCAAGGCTTTAAACCTGGGTTTAACCGGAGACTAAGCCATTCTCAAGCACATATCAAGGAGCTCATTTTGAGCCTGGATCCAGATTTATTGTTGATTCTGTTCATGGTGGAGAATCCTGCTTCACAGCAGCAGGTTGAGCCAAACATCCTCTAAATGTGCAGGGTCATCTTTGAGCACGCCATTTCACTTTTCTTTCACTAGTTCACCGCAGTTCTTCCAGCAGTCCACACTTTCTCTGCTCTCTTTTTCTCATGGTCTTCTCCTTCTTTCCCATCGCCCGGCTTGCCACAGGTTTGCCTGCTGTGTCTAAAAGTAGCAGCAGCAGCAACCCAGACTGACAGCTCATTGGCTCATTTGGATCACGTGCAGCCTGGAGCCGGACGCTCCCCAGGGCTTTACCGTATTAACAGGAGAAGAGGAGCAGGTGAAATGAGACACTGTCGCTGGACAACATGCAGTAATTTATAAGTGTTTTAAATCAGGTTGGGTCTGGATTAGCCAGCAGGAGGATCCAGACCTTGGTCCGCTAATCAGTGACCTCTAGGGTGAGCTGTGGGAACCAGCCTGGAGCCTTATGCAAAACCCTAAATGGTGCTAAGACCACATAAAAGAAATATAGAACCAAAAGACTGCTTAACTCCTTTGCTCCTCAAGGCATCAAGCTGTACAACTCGTCACTTGGAAAAAGGAGGAGGTGATAGGAAGAGAAACATGGGCCAAACCCCCTTCTTTGGACATCTTGTGCAAAACATCACCTATTTTCACTCATGTGCCCATAGGCCTTATACTGCAGTATACTGTATTTCTGCAATACAAGTGCAAAAATCCAATTCAACTACTGTGTTGTTATCCCTTAGCACTCTACTGTGCAGATATTATTATATCTAAAGGAAACATATTCCAGGACATTAAAACTTTTTTTGTTCTCTTTATAAGCTCCTGGAAGCAGAATTTCCCTGAAGGAGTAATCCCAAGGGATAAATAAAGAGGAGTCTAAGTCTTAGGTGCTGGTTATCGTCCCACAGCAGTGTGTCGCAGTTAGCTTGTCGCAGGTATGACGCAGATATTTTTGATTTATGCCCAGTATTGAAACGTTTTCTGCGCTACATTAGTCCAAGCCAGAGGGACAATTAGGAACTAGCTAGGATTGCTGGTGTCCGTGTCTCGGTTTGATGAGCTTGTTCGCCGTCTACAACCCCTCATCCAACGGCGGACGACACACAATTCACCCGTGAGTGTTCCCCAAAGACTGGCCGTGGTGCTGCGTGTTTTTCCTTCGGGTGCAAAGCAACAGACCATCGCACAGAGCGACAAATTAGCGTCCTGCACGGTGTCTGGGATCGTGTCTGAGGTGTTCCAGGCGCTGTGGACGGAGCTACAGCCAGTTTCTGCCATTAGGAACCAAACAGGAAATACACAGAGTAGAGTGGATGTACAATTGACCAATCAGAGGCCTCCTGTCTGCTCGTCACCTATAATTTTGGGGAGATGCCTGCGGAAGGGGCGGGGCATATCTGCGTTAACTGCGACACACATGCAGACGACCTGGTTTCTGAGTATAAACCAGGCTTAAGAGTGGACCACAGGGGACCAGAGGTCTACATCTATGAAAGATTGGGTTCCACATTAAAAGTCTACAAAGGGCCCAGGGGCAGAAAAATTATTCAAGCGAAATATATTTTAGATTTATCAAAGCGGGAGAAAGCAGAAAAACAAGCTAAATTCTTTGATAAATTCCACCTGGGAGCACAAAGCTCCACCTCACACTCGGCCAGCTGCACGTCCCACACAAAGCACCGCAGGAATGTCACTGTGTATTTAACTGAGCCACCTGATCAATGTCGTTTAATGGTTACCAATGGCAACCACATGAAAGAGAGGGGAAAACAAACTGTCTAATGCTGCGTTCACACCGGGGGCAGCTGGCGCGACAGAAGCAGCGAGTTTACATGCAAAGTCAATGGTTGACGCGCGTCAAGGCGCAGCAAAAGGTCCCGCGGCGCGTTTCGAGCAGCAAGCGCAGCGCGTCTGAGCAGCTGAAGCAGCACGTCGGGCGCGTTTTGGCATCTGACGCGCGTGACGCGCCGCAAACTCGTTGCTGCTCGAGATGGAAAAATTGAATTTTTGCTGCTCGACGCGCCGCGTCAACCAATCAGAGAAGCTGATCTGGGAGCTGGCTGGGAGAGAGACACAGCGCTGATGACACAGACTGCTCTGATCACTTCTCTTAAACAGTTTATTAACGCATAATTAACTTAAAATATATACATCTGCCGGCAGAATATGTTTGCTTTTATTATTCTGGTGCCTGCAGATCTGATTATTTAGATGAAAAACACCTACCAGCCACCGCGGTAAACCGCGAGGAGGTGACCCGGCCAGAGGCTGCTGATGAATGGATTCCTTCTGTCGGCGCACCGCTGGTATGTGGGGGTCTGAGCGGCTCCGACAGAAATAACATTGGGAGACAGGATTGTAATCTGGATGAACTGACTCCACTGATGAAGTTTTCAGGTGTATTTTCTCACTTAAAAACATATTAAAACTACTTTATTCCCACTGATCACAGCAAATATAGCTGCAAGGCAGAGAAAGGATAGTGTAGCTCCGCCCAACGCGCGTCAGACACACTTTTGGACCGCGCAGGCAGAGCAGCAAAGCTGCTTCAGACGCGCGTCAGAATTCACTGGTACAAGCAGCAAAAATGAAGCAGCAGACGCGATTTTGCTGCTTTTGCTGCCCCCGGTCTGAACGTAGCATAACCGAGGCAGAGATGGATGTGTCGGTGAGGGAGGTGGAAAGTTGGTTAAATATTTCTGTTAGCAGCAGAGGTGAAGCGTTATGAACAGAGATGTAGAGTGAAGCATAGACTGATCATATCAACAAATGGCGGACAGAATTAACTGCCATTCCCCGGCCTTAGGGAAGGTTATCCACAACCACAGAGCGGTTTACAGCTGCAATTAATGATCAATTAATAAGAAGAAGCCAAAAATCTGGATGCCTTAACGATCGTGGATCTTTATAGCCTGAAGCAGCATCTATTTTTTTTCACATTTTAAACAACTTGTATATATATTCAAAGAGTTTTCTTTATATTCATGACTATGGGAAATGAAGAATCACACTGAAGGCATCAAAACTATTAAATAACACATGTGGAATTATATACTTAACAAAAAAGTGTTAACCAACTGAAAATATGTCTTAAATATTAGGTTCTTCAACGTAGCAACCTTTGCTCTTTGTATATATATGTATATACATTCTCCACGGTGAGATCAATAAATTTTATCAATCAATCAATCAATTAGATGAATTAATTGAGAATTTTAGTCGATTTTACCAACAAGTTAGAAAAACTGAAGTAATTAAATTACTATTGAATTCTGCATGTTATCTCAGAATAATAATAAGGTTTTCTTTTTGTCGTTTTTGTTTCAAGCAGATGTAGTGTAACCAGCCTGCATACAGCTCCTCCCACACATCTAATTATTCTGGATTCATAACTTAGGAAACATTTATTTATTTGATAATAAATTCAATGAACATGAAGGGAACCGTCCTGCTGTGGGTGAGGATTACAGGTTGCTTACCGTACTTGATGCTGAACAGGCTCTCCACTTGTCTCCGGAGCTGAAGGATCATTTCACCGATGTCCTCCACCAAACTCCCAGCTGAACACGTCCAACAAACCACAACCAAAGGAAGTCATGAAAAGAAAATCTTCAGAGCCAAACTGCTTCCTTCCACATCTGAATATTACCTCCCTTTTTGTTTATTCTAAGATATGTCTACTTAGAAATGTCAAACCAAACCAATTAACATCTTTAGGTATAAATGTGGATGTAGGACAACAGAGAGCTGATCACCAAGGTGATCTGTCTTTGAGGTGAACCCTGTTGACCTTTTTATTCACCCTCTAGTTTAAACACCAGAAGGAGACCTACCTTCAGTGGGTCTGCGGATGCTGGGAGAAGCTCCTGTGGGGGACAAAGCCTCGGCTGCAAGATGCAAAGAGACAAACATGAGCAACTTCTTTAGCCTCTTCAGTGATAAAAAAAACTCTCAGCATTAAAGAAATAGACTCAACACCCTCTATTTCTCAAAGTAGAATGGGAGGCAGATCTTTTAGTTCTCAGGCTCCTCTCCTGTGGAACCAACTACCAGTTTTAGTCCGTGAGGCAGACACCCTGTCTACTTTTAAGGCTAGGCTTAAAACTTTCCTTTTTGATAAAGCTTCTAGTTAGAGTGGCTCAGGTTATCCTGAGCTATCTCTATAGTTCTGCTGCTATAGGCTTAGACTGCTGGAGGACATAGGGACCCCTTTTTCATCATTCTGCTTCATTCTATCTCTATTCTCCCTCTCTGCAGAATCTGTTAGTTCAATCTCTAACGTTCTGCTCTCTCTGCTTTTTCTCATAGTAGCTTCATCTGGTCTGTTCCTGTTTGGCTGTGACTCCATCCTGGAGAGAAATATCAGCTGTGCTGCTGCCATCAACACCTTTGTTTCTAGATGTTGGAGCTTGGCCTGTTTTCCAGTGTAGTCCTGTTTCTCTGACTGTGACTAACTGGATGTGCTCTCTTCATCCTCTGACATGGGAGCTGGCTCGGAGCTCGTCTGCCTGGCTGTGTGTTTCCTGGACGGGGCCGCCTGTGGAGCTGGTTGACAGTTGCCTTTTGTATCTATGCTTCTTTTTCTATGTCTGCTTCTGTCTCCTTGAACCCCAGTGGGCCTCAGCAGATGGCCGCTCACACTGAGCCTGGTTCTGCTGGAGGTTTCTTCCTGTTCAAAGGGAGTTTTTCCTCTCCACTGTCGCTATAGAAATAAACTGAGTTGAACCGAATTATTACAGAACTTAAAAAAAACATTAAACAGTCAACAGGCCAACAAACCCTCCTGCGACTGTTGCATCTAAACGCCACTCTAACAGGGCTTTAGAGAGGATCTTCAAACTGATGATCCTGAAAGACGTGAACCAAGCAGAAAAAAAAATGTCTGAAAGGATCTGAACAGTAAAAACTTCACCCGTGGAAAAATATTAAATGATTTTTTTCATTAAAAAAATTAAAATAAAAACGTGCTTATCAAGCATTTACGCTTCCTTCCCATTACAGACAGTGAGATAGAGGAAAGCTTCCTGATCATGTTAGCTCAGGTCTATTTTAAATGCAACAACAATCCTAGCAAAAAGTCATTTTAAAGCACTTTTTAATATTACTAGATTAGTTTCTACTCAGAATCTGACTAAAGACAAACCTAAAATCCAGAAGGGAATTTAACTGTAAGCTGGGAATCCCTATAAAAAAAAAAAACATGGAAACGGGAAAACTACATTCAACAGGTTCAACACTTACCTCCATTTTTCTTCCTTTACTGGTAAATTGCGAAAGAAAAGAAAACTTAAAGAAAGAACAAATCAAATGAAGCCAAAGAATAATCAGCTCTAATAAGCAATTAAATGAACCAAGATCATTTGGAGTAAACTCTTCAATAAAATTCAAATATCCTCCATCTATATACTAGCTCAGATTTCAATGATCATCAGATCGACATGAATCCAAGTCGACATGGATCCTCTGAGTGAACTTTCCTGCAGATCATTCCTTTGGAGTTTCTGCAGGATCGTCGATCAACAAACTTTCCTGGTTGAGGATTTATTAGAATTTCTTCCCACACATCTGATTCCTTTATATTGAATATATATATAGTTGAATTTATGCTCACTGGAGTAGATCTAAAAAAAATCTACCCACCTCTGCTGAAAGATAAGCTTGCACTGGAAAAAAATCCAAATCTAGATAAGTCATTTATTCTTAAAATAAGTGCATTTTTTCTTGGATTGAGGTATTAAAAGAGACATTTTGCCTATGGAACGAGGAAATTTACACTTTAAATGAGAAAACACAATTGAATTGTTTTATTTCAAGTGCATTTTATCTAATTATCTTATTCTAAGAATAAAAATACTCCTTCCATTGGCAAACTATCTCATTTACTTACTGAAATTAAGGGTAAATACATTTAATTTAAGAAATTTTTGCTCATTTCTAGATTGTTTTTCCAGTGTGTGAGCTATATCCTGAACAATTCATATCTTTCTCCTGACCATTCAGGGATTTTTTTTTCTCTTTACAAACTTTTTTTGTGTTAAACTACATAAAACAGGGATTAAAGCAAACTTTTTCAAAACAGGCAACAAAATGATTGTGTTGGTATATTTTCCAGCCATGCCAGGGGGGTGTGGGGTCATTGGATCAGAGATTGCATGAATGATTGAAGACTAAATTTGACTACCAAAAACAGCCAGATGGTAAAAGTGCGTCTATATCTACGACTTGCATGAACCACATTTTGTTTGCTATCCAGTTTTGCTGCTAAGCGTTGTGTTCGGCGAGGAAAGCATAAACTCTCATATACGGTCAGTTACTGAAGCTGCTACATCAAATGTAACTGTAGCTCCTGGCTAACGTGTAGTGTGCGCGACCGCAGGAACAGCGCTTAGATGACCAGGGCCATGTCTGCGTAGCAACTTTTTGAGGCTGGATGCTTAAATAAGCGTTCCTGGAGCCCAGCGTACAGAAGCAAGCGACTGGTTGACCTAACTTCCTGCACCAGCTGCTAAATGGCTTAGCCTGGGTGCCATTCTGAACTTAGTCCCGCCCACAACGTTTGAGGTCGGGAAGTTCGGTCTGGCATTGCTCAGCAGTAGCGCGAGTATGCTAGCACAATATCTGGCGGGCCAATCAAATTGTCAGGGCGGGCTTTATACGATGATGGACAGATGATCAACAGTAACGTAATCAACCACGTCACCAAAGCGCGCTTGGGTGACAACAACAATGGCTGCCGCTGGAGAGTTGAGGTGAGTAGATTCTGCTATTAGGTCTGTTCTAGAAGATATCGACAGCAAATTAATTTAAAAAGAGGAACAGAGAAACGCGATCAAGGCTCATCTTCTTATTCTAGGCGTGCAACTGCACGCTTTGATTTTTGTTGACAACAACTATGCGTGGCTTAACATGCGTCACGCACTCCGTTGCTCTTATTGGTTGTAGGTCTATCCAATTGAGTGCAGATGCATTTTTTTCCTGGTTCATTCGAAACACGCCCCATAATCACAGCTCTATGGAGCAGCATCGCACTCATTCTGACTAGAATTGAGTCGGACTACGTCAGGCTATAAATGGCTCGCCATTTCGCCCCGTCTCCTCCAGCAACGCCCAGCGCCATTTATTTTTCAGACCTTTATCTACGGTCGTGACGTCTTCCCCCGAGCTCATGAACTGCATGGTTCCTACTCCATGCAGTTCCGTTCTCTCTATCGTCCTTCTCTCCAAACACAAAGTTTCATTTATTTAATTTTTGACTTTTAGCACGTTTCTCCGTAAATTAGAGCCATTAACGGCACAACGTGACTTTCCGTGTAGAAATACAGCAGATAACCACAATCTATCTGGTAACTTGAGCAAGAAACAAGAGGAGGAGGTACATGCTTTCCTAAGACCCGCCCCCTTCTTCTTCCGATTGGCTAATACCGTTGGTTTCAGAGTGCCCCTTTGCGTCCATTGGCTGACAAACGTAAGAGGGATTTTGATTGCCTTTTTTTTTTATTTACAATTCAATTTATTTTCAAGGGATTTTTTTTTCAATCACTATAAGTCGGAATACTCTAATCCCTGATAAAATGTTAGAAAAATAATATTCCCAGTATCTGAACTTTCTTTCAGGTTCTTCAGATTGGTTGTAGCGGGCCTCCAGTGTAAACTCAGGTAGACTGGATAATGATTAAACCAAAATATGTTTAAGCAAGGATTATTTTAAGGGTGAAATGTTTCATCCTAATAACTGTTTTGTTGTTTTTTTTTTTGTCGATTTGGACTGGATATGTTTCACAATAAGATGATTTACTGATAATTAAAGTTTTTAGCAGAGGTGTGTTCACTTTTATGACCCTTTCTAAACACAGAGCTGTTTTCCCTGTAATTCCAAACTAAATGAGCATTATGTGGGCGCTTTAAAGAAAAATAGACAAACTGAAATGTTTATGACCTAAAATAAGTGATGGTTTATCTGCATCGGAGGAGCAGAGTGAACTCAAATGTTCTTGGTTGTGTTAATCTAGCCATAGTTTCAGGGAGAGGCTATTAGTAAGTTGAGGGCAGAAATGACAAACGGTTTTCTAAAAACACTCAAACCTGCAAAACGCACAATGCACCGTTTGTAATCACTGATGTGTTTATTTCAGTGATTTTTCACGGATGACTCAGAATTCAAACTACAGGCGTTCAGACTGAGGTGGAACACATAATGCATGGTGCTTTTTGCAGGTGAAAGCTAACCTTAAAAGGAGGGGGGCTATAGGAGGTTAAATCACAGATGGGGATTTTTTAGGTTGGGGTGGAGGCTAATAGTGAACGAGGATGTTTAGTTTTAAGGATGTGAAAAAGGGAAGAAAAACGTGGTTCAAACGTGCTTCGTTTGGCTACCTAATGAAGGGCAGAGCGGGAAGCTGGGAGGAGCTGCACTGTAAGGAGGTCAGTTACATGGAGGAGTGATGTAATGAAGGTGAGTATACCTGGGGGGGTCTCCTTTGGGTGGTGGGGAGGTGGAGGAGCAGGGGTCAAAGACGAGGTCGGCGAAGCCGTGGTTGGAGACGGAGCGGATGGAACCGGCTCGGCCAAACACTCAACAGGCTCCTCCCCGCTAGTGCTAGCATCTACAGAAATAAAATAAACAAAACGTATTCATCTATATTTATAAAACAAACAGAAGTTACTGATTGAGGTATTCGTTAGAACTCTATAAGCGTTCCTCTTTGATATAACAAAACATATCTAGACAGACAACTTCAATTTACAGAGGACAATCTTTTATTTCCGGGTGGATCATCTCAATAAGTGGTCCTCCTAACTGTCAATCATTCTGGTGATATGTTTACGTAAGGCTGTCCTACGTGCTGGTCCCGTTAGCCATTTTTTCTGTGTATATCTGCGGTTTCAGTCAGTCATTGAAGCTCACCTTTCTCACCATGGTTCTTTGAAAATGGCCGAGGGTCAGAAGAAAAAAGTGTCTATGAAGAGTATGAGAAGAAAAGAAAAGCCTCAGAGGCAGATATATCCCAGAATGCTTTGCGCTGAGAGCTCTCCTCTGCAAAGCATTATGGGATTTGCTGTCACAGCGGCCTCAGCTGTGACCTGACAGTGGCGACTAATAACAAAGATGGCGTAGGCACCGCACAGTGGAGGAGGAGTTACGTGACCAACGGAGTGAAAAGTAGTGATCATCTGTGTGAACGGTCAGTTAACTGAGTTCACTATAAAGTTCACTATATAGTCCCCGCTCTATAGTGATGGAGGGATTTAGGGGTGAGGGCGGACGGACAGACACAGTAAGCTGGTGTGAGAAACAGAGCGTGCACGAGGAGAAATGGGCTTGTGCACGCTCTCGCACGCCTTTAATAGGCGTTCCCTCTCGGAAGCGGGTACAGGGTTGTGCAAGTGCAGTTTTTTTTAAAGTGGAGAGGGTGGGTCTTTTAAATAATTTGTGAAAATCCTCCACTATACCTTTAAGGTACTAATGCCAACAGTGTGACGCTCTTCTTTAAATTAAATGAATATTTTTTAATATAAAATCAGCCGGTTGATTTCTATTCAGTATAAATATTTCAAGGTATGATTTAACTAAAAACATTTATTAGCACTACTTTACTGGCTGTAAAAGATCAGAGTGGCAACCATTGCTATGGTTTGGACATAAAAACCCAGCGTTCATCTGATAATTGTTCTCAAGGAAACCCCTCAAAGCCCTTCAGCCCTAATCTATGCTTCTTTTTCTATGTCTGCTTCTGTCTCCTTGAACCCCAGTGGGCCTCAGCAGATGGCCGCTCACACTGAGCCTGGTTCTGCTGGAGGTTTCTTCCTGTTCAAAGGGAGTTTTTCCTCTCCACTGTCGCTACAAGCATGCTTAGTGTGAGGGATTGCTGAAGAGTCAATGAGTCGATGCAATCAGCTGGTTTTCCTTAGATAGAAAACTTTGAATCAATCTGACTGGATGATCTGGTGAACTGGAAAGTGACCTGAGATGACATGATGTGAATTGGAGCTATAGAAATAAACTGAATAGAATTAAATGTTTAGTAGTCATGTTTGAAATGGATGAAATAGCTTCCTTTTCATCATCTTCTTTTTGTCTTTTTTTCCTCGCCAACGTTCAATAATCTTCTAAACAGTGACTTCTGATTCTAAAAAGAAGTCACTGGGCGGGCAGCAGCAGGAGACGTTCTCTGCTGATATCTGAAGTAAAATCTGACATTTTAGGACCAATTCTTTTTTAATTTAGTTTTTTTTTTCTAAGTTGTTGACAAAGATTTATCAGTCAGGGAACTGGGACACAGAATAAAGCAAATCCATATTTACAGTTGGGATTATTCTTCAGCTCCAAAGGGAAATATTCTCTGACAGAATAAACGCTTCTGCAGGAATAAATAAAACATAATAAAACACTGTAGAAACAGGATTGATGTCTAATTCTAATACATGCAGCTCTGGAAGAGAGGAAACTTCCTTATTTATGAAAACTCCAACTTTAAAAAAAAAACAATCCCTCACCTATAGTCAGTTAATCCAGATTAGTAAAGACAATGCTAAGATTTTAATTTCCAGTTATTTACCTGGGAGTGTGGTGAGGTTGGGAAACTGGACGGAGTAAAACGAGCTAAATTCCAGGGCAGACCAACTGGTGGAGGGGAGTCTGCAGACTTACCAGGCACTGTAACCTGAATGACATCCCCTTCTGGAGGCTCCATTTTAATCCTCCTCACAGGAACTGCATCTCCTGAAGGACCTGCAGGAATTAACAACTCAATGTTCAGTCGTCTAAGTGTTTTTAACGATTCTGTGATAACAGATCTACAAACACAGCTTTTTCCTTTAACTAAAACTACAACCATTGAACTAATAGATTACTTTAAATAAGGAAAGGGTTTTTTTTTTCCTTATGAGTGCAGTACCTGCATCAGAGTCAGCCTGGGGACTCACACAAGCACTCGTTGATCTAGGAGGAAAATAGAGATGAGAATCGTTCAGTATTTATTCAACAAAAAACTAAACTCAGATAATAGATTAGTGAAGGAGTTCAGGAAATGACGCCGTAACTTGTTAAAGGAAAAGTCGCTCATATTCAGGATTCAAACTTCTGAAAGTTCTTTAAATGTGAAATGATTCCATCCTGTTCAATAAATGATCAGTGTTTTTAATTCAGAGTAGTTTTGATGTGAATGTGCTTTACTGGAGGCATCCATGTTTGTCAAAGAACACTACTGCCACCTACTGGTTAGTGACGTCACGGTGCGGTATCGGCTGTTGATCAAGTCCCAGTGCTGTATCTGGTGTTTGTCACAACGCGCTATTATCCAAGTCATCTTGAAAACATTCTTCTTCCAAATGTTGGCTACATATTACGGGTTTTTTTTTTTCACTTTATTCACCTGCTGTACCCTCCCCGCTCTCTTATTAGCATTTGTTTTATTCACCTGCTTCTTCTGCTATATATATGGTTGAGCCCAGCTAACGGGGCCAGATCATTATTTGTGTATTCTTAGTTTATTCTTGTCAGTTTTTCATGTTTGTTTCATGAGTTTTAGTTACGTTTCAGGTTCATGTCTCCTGTCTCCTGGTTGTGTCCCGGCTCTTCTCCGCTGAGCCTTTTAGGGTTTTGGCTCGGAACACGGGGGAAAGGTCAGTTTTAATTCCCGTAAGTCTTGCTCCAAGGTGGAAACCAGTTTAAAGTTCCACATTTATCATAGCCAAGTCTTGTCTATGTTCCTCTCTACCACTGAGCCTGCCTTCTTCTTCTGTGCGTATCTGTCTGGGCCAGTCTGCACCTGAACCTGCCTTCATGCTCTAAGGATTCCTGGAAGCCTTGATCGCTCTATTCCTGCTTTGATCAGAACCTCTGATCAGACTGAGAACTCCTGGATTCCTGGACTGTTCCAGCCTGATCTGTTTTCCTCGGACTTGGATCGGCTTCCTGCATGCCCTGCGAGAATGCTGTATCTGGGACAGTCTGGGCGCCGCACGCCGCGTCTCATTGGCAGTGCATCGACTAGATCGCGCCTCTTTAAAGGAAGATGGACTGAACTGTTAAAGCAGAATGCCAGTGATGGGTTGCGCATCCCCCCCTGCAGCTGCTGCGGTCCGATTATCTTCAGCAGAGCGCGTTTCTGTTATGTTTCATTTTCTGTCATTAGTTTTGAATCTTCCCGTTGTCTGACTCGCCTTGAATACTGGGTCCATCCGTCCCGGTTTATGACATCTTCAAGTTGGCGATCCAACGACCAACCCGTCCGTGGAGGATCAGGAATCAGAAAGGTGGAATAACTCTTTGTTTCACTTTTACCCGATGTATTCCAGCATCCAGCTGCCATGCACGTGGGCATTGTCAGTTTCACTATAGCTCTGGTGAATTTCAATGGTGAAGTCCTCTGGAAATCTTCAATAATTGTTGTTGATTGCAGATGTGTCTAGTAGTTCCCATTGATTTAGCTTGGAAAGCGGGGAGAATGGCGCTAGGCTTACCGCACCGTGACGTCACTGCTGGAAGATGGCAGGAGGGAGGGGCTACTATATCTGGGCAAAAATGGCCGCTCCCAGACTCAGTGATCGTCACGTCAAGTATTGTTTTTTTACAGATTAACTCTAAATTCATTAAATCGATGCAAACGTATTTGTTTTAGGTATAAATAATGATCCATTGATTATTCATCGCTGACCAGACTTTTCTGCTGCAGTTTATTTCGGTTTGCAGACATTTATTTCTGCTCAGCTGCTTCTGTTCTACATTTGCTGCAATGTTTTGTTTTATCCATGTTTAGGCCGAACCTTTTTAAAATGATCTGGCATCCAATTTACTTATGTAATCTGTACGCATGAAATCATTAACCTTTTTTTCCTTTCCAGCTTTTATCAGTTGACTAATCAAGATATTTTACTATATTTCTATATACTATATTTTTACTATATATCCATGGATGAGAAGCAGCAGCTGCCAGGATGCTGGTCTGTTTTTATTCCAACCTGAATCCTTTGATGTGTTTGTTGTCCTGAATGAGAGGATATCCACAGTCAGACGCTTCCTTTTATTTGTAGCATCAGTAAAAAGCAGAGCTAATTTCCTGACTCGGTTTGCAGAGAGTGAATTACTCTATTGTTAACGGCCCATGCAGACACACCCGCGTCCTTTTTGACCTTTTCTATCTGTTCATGTCGGCTCTGTGGCTGAAAACGAGGCCACTGATACCCTCTGACTTCTATTGATGATCTGAGGACAGATCTTTGTCCAGAATGTTAGAGCCAACAGTAAAATATCACAAAAACTGAATATCTCACAGTGTTTCATACAGGTTATAGTTTAAAAGCCACAAACTGATCATCAGCATCAGCTGCATGGACTAATTTGCTAGAGTTAAACAAACTGCTAAGAGGTGCAAGAATGTAGGATTCTTGGTTGAATCTGCTTCCTGGATGTGAAATAGTTGATATTTTATTCTTAATATATTGTGTATATTAGGGATGCAGGATATTGGGATTTTGGCCGATATCCGATATGCCGATATTTTAAAACTCATGTAGCCGATAACCGATATCGATACCGATGTTAAAGCTGGACAAAAATAAGTAGTCATTGAAAATAGCAGTTTTGTTATCCATTTCTGACACTTTGAAAAATAATAAACTCAAATATATTTTCATATGCTGATATCAAATAGATTTTTAAAAACGCGGTATCGATCTATTTTACTTTCAAAATCTGATGAAATTTCATCGTTCTGTTACAAACTCTCGTGATATTTTGCAAATTCTTGTGAGATTTTGTTAGTAAAATAGATCGATACCGCGTCAATATATCAACATATAAAAATATGGCAACATTTGGTGAATTTTCGGGGGATTTCGTAGCATAACGATGACATATAGCAATATTTCATTAGTAAAAGAGATTGATATGGTGTTTTTAAATGGCAATATATCAGCATATGAAGATATTGGGATATTTTAATGGATCAATATTTTTTCCCTCGTCTTTAGAAGTTTTTAAGTCTGTAAAAAAGAAGTTTTTGAGGAAGAAGAAGTAGTTTTTTTTTTTTTTTTTTTTTACTTTAGAAACTCAGAAGCTGATCAAATATCAGGTTAAATATCGGTGGGGTGGCCGATGTCCGATATTCAGTTTTAAGGCCGATACCGATAGGGGGCCCATTATATCGTGCATCCCTAGTGTATATATATATATATATATATCGTTTTTGGTTTTTGCTTTTTTTGGACTAATTCACATTTTATAGATCTGTGTTTAATGCATAATTCATTGTAGATCAGGAATGTTTGCTTTGGGATGGAAACCTTTTAGGTCTAAAATCATTCTTTTACTGGACATTCTGTCAGTTCGTCTGTCTGCTATATTAAGCAATATGATGTGTTGAACTAGATCTGCTATTTTCACAGCTTTTGTGAGACACTTTTGTATAAAGTAGGACATTAATTCATAAAAAAAAAGTGTATTTGAATTCTATAAATCAGTTTTCTGTCCAATAGCAATGATGATCTGCACAGCAGCATTCTATACCCAGCTATTGTAGCATCTAGGATAGAGCTGCAGGCTGGGAAACAATCTGGTTGTTATTCTGAATTGTAAAGGTTCACTTTTTTCACAACATAAAACTGACTAAAACCTTTTTAAGTTTCAGTCGACTAAAACCGTATAAAAATATAAAATCTAATAATGACTAAATTGTGACTAAGACTAATAATAATTTTCGACCTTAAGACGAAAACAAGACTGAATCTAAGATAGGTCTTTTGTGCATTTTTAATTATGCACAAAAGAGCCCTTTTTATTTTGCATTTTATTTATTATTGCGTGTTTTAGCTTTGTTTCCTGTTGCTAGGATCTTGTTAAAGGTCTAATACTGACACCCTAAGACATCGTGTGGCAGAAAAGCTTATAGCTGGATAAAATAAAATAAAATAAAATAAAATTTGAAACCAAAAGTTTGAATGAGTATATCAATGCAATTTCATGCACTCTATAGTTTTTGAAGGTAATTTAGACATATTGTGATATATATCATGTATTGCGATATAGCCCAAATATATGGCAATATTAGATTTTCTCATTTTAAGCTTCTATGAAGCGACAGAGTTCAGTCTAAAGACCTAAATGGTCGGACGGGTTATGTTGCAGGGTGTGTCTCTGCGGGCTGAGGGCCAACCTGCTGCTGTGAGCGTTGCTGAGCAGCTCGGCCGCGGTGGGAGGGATGCCCAGACAGTCCGAGAAGCCGTCCTCAGGCGCAGGGCCCGTGTCCAGCTTTCCCTCCTCCCTGGCAATCTTGCCTGCAGCTTTAACAAACCAGACGCAGAGGATAAACAAACAAAGCATCCAATTAGCAGATAGCAATTTTACAGAGTAAATGTGTAAATAAATAAAAACACTCGACAGCCTCTCTTGCTCTCCGTCTGCTTTGATTAGTTGCATAAACATTCACAGTTATTAAAATTTCACGTCTGGCTTGGTTTCATGAAAGAAAGAAGCCGAAACCTGTTCAGACTTTACCAAACTAAGCTAATAAATCATTTAATCCATCAGATTCAGACAAACCAGTAAAGCTACAGATCTTCATTTTTTTTTTAAAGCCGTTAGGTCAATTTTAGTTCAGTAGGTGAGAAAAGATGGAGGTGGATTAAATAACTAAAAAAAGAACACAGCTAAAAGGTTTTTAGTCATTGTTCTCCAGAAACTTTGCTGTCCTGGAAATAATTTCCTTATATTCTGAGCTGCAATTAGCAGCGCTAATTTCCAAAAGTCATGGAGACAGATTAGCAGCATTCTCAGTAATGAGGACTGGAATAACAGCTCGTACATTTTAGGGAAAACAGCATTAAAACAAAAACAGAATTAATTATAGCCTTACCAGTAAAAATCCTCTCATCAAACATTCTGCAGAAGGAAAAAAACAAAACAACAAAAACAGGCTGTTAGTCACAGAGTTCAAAGCCTAATTTAACTCTCAGGACAATAAAATAGAGAAATATTCAGATTGGAGCGCATTACATGTGATTGAGCAAGTCATTAGCGACTCCTTAAGCACATTAACGGCTGTTTAAACAATCAGTCTCACAGAAACAATCACATTCGCTTATTACAGCTGAAACAACCTGATTATTATTGTCGTCTGGCTGGAAAATCAACTCCTACGTCTCTTGGCCACATGCTGCTTCTCTCCCCTCTTGCTGTGATTATGATCGACTTCAAAACCAAACAGATCTTCCTGCGACTCGTGTTTATTTATGCAAACCTTTCATGGTGCAGAGTTCATTACGCTAGCTATAGTTATTTAGCCACCTGTCGTATAAAAAGCTGAAGGACGAACCGGGTGACGTGGAGAAAAGCGAAAGTAAAAATATGAAGAGATTTTACTGATCAGGAAAGATTCAAACAAGATGAAACTGAGCTGTTCAGCACATTGAACTCAAACTGAGTGAGGAATCTAAGTGTTCCCGTCTCGCTTTAAATGAAAACAACGCTTTGGTTTCAGTTTACTGAAGCGTCCCTTTTAACTCCTGCTCCGTTGCTTTTGCACATCAGAGCCTCACATCTGAGGGAGACAATGGGATGTAATATCATCATAAATTAATCCCATTTTTAATCTTGGCTAATTATATTAACGTTAACGAGCTGCCTGCAGGATCGGTAAAAAGATGCTTTATCTCAAACAAGGCATGGTGGCTGGTTTAAATTAGCTTGAACAAATGGGAAGAATAACAGCCATTAGTGCGGCGCGCTGGTGAGACGGAGAGTCACCCGGGATAGTAGTGAATCAGCAGTCAGCGGGACGGGGGGGGGGGGGCACTTAAGGGACAGATGGTTTAGGCTGGGAGATTCTTTTTACTAAATATGAGTAAAAACTTTGGGCATAAAGCTGTAGTGATGTATTTAGAATTAGGTGCCACTGAAAAAGTAAACTGATTAACTGATTTTTAAATATTATTTCAGTTTATTACTGGAAAAAATTCAAAATTCCAACTTTTTTTTCCCTCAGAATTCCAACTTTTTTCCTAAGAATTCATCAAGCTGTCGCCTTGTCTAGAGACTAAACTAGTCATGTTTTATTCCCCTTCTGCTCTTCCATTAATGAAATAGCATCACCAGCGACCCCCTCGTGCTCGTTATAACTCGCCTAATTTCCACCAGTGTGTTACTGGCCCTCCCAAACAACTCACATCTTTGTCAGTGAAGCTGAGTGCTCCACATCTTTAAGATTAAGATCCAAAATTCTGAGATCAAAGTCAGAATTCTAAAAAAAAAAAGTCAGAATTCTGACTTTTTTCCCATAATAAACTACAATAAGATTAGAAAATCAGTAAACTATTTTTTTAAGTGGCCCTATTCCCCTTCCATATAAAGGAGTCATGAAGGGAGGCTTTAAAAATGATTCCCTGAATTGGTAGGGGTGTAAATAATAATGGTTTTGTATCGATGCATCGATCCAACAGCCGACGATCCGATGCATCGATACGTCCGCAAGATAATCGATTCATGTTTTTTTTTCCTCCGGTCTATTTTTATCCATTTGCTCCTGGGCGTAATTCTCCCTCCCGTGCTGCGGTGGCACTAAACCTATTTTGCCCTCCTACCTCGCTTCCTGGTTATACTCTTACAGCAGTGTGTTGCAGTGAGCTTGATGCAGACATTTTTAAATTATGCTCAATATTGAAGCGTGGTCTGAGCTACACGCTGTGGGTCTAGATACGGCCGAGGCGGCAAGGAAGTGGGGGCGAGTTTAGTCCAACGACGGAGGGACATGAGGGCCAAAAAGAGCGGAGATCCAGGTGGAAAAAGGGTCCCAGCGTTCTTGCGCACCTCCCTCTTCTAGCGGGTCAAACTTCACGAGTTGTTTTCCGCAATTTCGGTCATAAAAACAAACCAAGCCGGCCTCCTGTCTGCGGCGCTGTCTGCGGTCAGCTACAATTAAGGAGAGGAGCAGCGGAGCGTCTGTGGAGGGGGCGGGACGTCTGGAGCCGAGGTATTGCATTGCACTCATTGCACTGATTTTGTGCAGTAATTTTTGATGCAAAGCCTTTCAGAATCTATAACGCAGGGGGATTATTATTTTTCAGTTAATGAGGTTTTAATAGGAATAGGTGGAGTACAACTTTTCTACTTCTGTTATTTGCTGTTGTTTCTCAAATAAAATGGATGACAATATTACAGCTTTCATTGATTTATTTCAAATTTGAAACATTGTATAGCCTGTAAGGTGTAAAAAAAACAAAAAAAAAAAAAATTAATCGAATCGTATCGTGGTGTATTCTTGAGTATCGAAAATAATCATATCGTTGGGTCAGGAAATCGATAGTGAATCGAATCGCCATGATGGATGTGATTTACACCCCTATGAATTGGTAATGACATCTTACAAATCACAAACAATATCAAGGAAAAATGGGAATTGGAAACAAGGGCGTAGGTTTGATTTTAACTTTGGTGGGGACACTATTGGTCTGGTGTCATTGGTGCTATGCAATATGCATGTCCTTTTTTATGCTCGATGTGAGCATCCGTACTGATAAGAGGAATTCATTGTTAAAAGAGAAAAGAATCATTTTGCTCCATTAATAAAAATGTTATAAGCTCTACACTCATTAGATGCTGTTTATCAATGTTTGAAGCATCACCGGCTCTGATCAATGTGGAATTAGGACTGTTTTCCACTTTGAAAATGGTTTCATTTGAACGACTAAGAGAGAAGGTAAATACAGTATTTTCTTTTGAAGATATAGAATTGTGCAGAGTTAAACTCCACTCTAATATTTGTACCTACTATTCTCTCTCTGTATCAAGCAAAATAATACATTCATTAAAATATTAACTTCACTATAAAAGTTGAACATCTGGGCTGTAGTTACTCTGTGTCGCCCATTTCATGTATTTCATCTGGGGCTGAAAAAAATGAATCATATTAATTGATTATTTCAATAATCGTCAACTAATTTAGTGAGTGATTCATCATTAACTGGAGTATAGAGACTTTAAAACATAATATAAATGTAAAATGTGCCTTTCCCCACAGAGCAACCCACTTAGATCAGTTATTATATCAAAATTGTAAAAGTAAAAACAAAAAAATGAAAACAGTAATATCAACTAAATATCGGTAAAAAGGAAACCCTCACATTTTCTTTTCTAGGTGGCTGTGGCTAAGAATCAGAAATGTTGATGGCTTACAGCCTTTATTTGCCCATTTTTCCAGCAGTCTTCAGAACTCCTGGCTGACTCAGAATATTTCGTTTTATAAAAGAAAAAAAAAGGTTTTTGTTTTTTAGTGTACATGATATTAATTTTTTTTTTTTATTGGGACTAGTTTTGTAGCCTAATATTAATTGTAGTAACCGCAGCATTCTAGTGTGAATAGATTTTCAATGTTGTGCTCCAAGCACACGCGGACTAGAAAACAGCCAATCAGAGAGAGAGAAGGCGGAACTTAAGGCAGAACAACCAATGAGAGTTGAGTTAAACAGCGCAGCACAGTTCCATGCGCTGCTACATTAAAGGGACAGGAGAGAGCAGGCAGAGGAGCTGCGAGAGGAAAAGAAGCCACTGCTGCAACAACTACTGCTGTAAATTATAAACATGTTGCTCACATCCAATTATTGGTCGGGACAATTAGGTCGGTTCAAAATTTTGGTAGGGACATGTCCCTATGGTCCCTATGCAAACCTACGCCCATGATTGGAAATGAATGTTATAAATAAAGATTCTGCATGGGTGGACATACGTATGTATGGGCTGTCCTAGGGGAACTAACAACCAACTATGGAAAGAATTTGACTGGAAAGTGTAGATGAGATACTTTAATACTCCCTTTATCGTCTCCTCATTTGTAAAAACTCCCAGTGTAGCTTTATGTTTGGCGAAATTGTGGAAATATTCCGTAAATGTTTAAAAAAATATCCACTGGACTTGGTTTCCAAGATTTGAAGACGTTTCTCCACCTCTCCAGGAAGCTTTCTCAATTCAAATGTCTGGATCCGCAGTGAGTTTGAGTCTTTATATAGACAAGGCCTTGTATCGCTTGGAAACATGCAAATGGTGACCGATGAATGGGTCGTTCCATCGTTAGCCTGTAATACCTGAAACCTGTCTATGATTGTTAAGGGTCGATCTTTAGGAGGTATTGTTCACCGGCTGAAGAGGGGAGGTACTTTGTTCCTCTGTGAAAATATTAAAGACACTGCACACATTTTTGGGGATTTTCCAGTAATACAAGGATTTTGGGACAATATTAAAAAGGATATAGAGGGAATATTGAGAGTAAATGTGACTCCTGAAGCTAAAAAATACCTAAAAACAGATATAATGCAGATCAGTGATATATACTGAGGGTTCTTCTACTGGTAGCAAAGAAAATGATTCCTATGCAGTGGAGAGATGGAAAACCACCAACAATAAGTGAAACGGTCCAGAGATTGAAACATGTTTACACAATGCAGCGAATGACTGCGAGCCTGCAGCTAACTGTGGACACTTTGGTACAAAGATGGACTTTTATTTCAGAATATCTGGGTGTCTGATGAAGAGGATGATGGGATGAAATGTTACTGGAAGGAATTCTGACTGAATTCTGAGAAAAAAAAGTCAGAATTATAAGAAAAAAAGTCGGAATTCTGAGATTAAAGTAAGAATTCTGACTTTTTTCCCATATTAAGCGGAAACTATTTAAAAATCAATAACTTTTTTTTATTTTTTCCAGTGGCCCTAATGCCTACTGTGCCTGCTGTCATAATTGTTAAGATTTTTTTGTATTTTGTGTTTGTTGTGACGTCTACTAATTGATTTTCTGTCAGGAGATGTAAAATGACTAGAATGGTTAAATAAAAAGTAAAATAAATAATGAGTCCCTGTGTTTATTACCGTTTGATGATGAATCTAATGCCGTGGCGCTCCTCCAGGATGCGTTTGAGCTTGGGCACGCCGTACGTGCACGGCCTCTTGAAGGGGATCTGATCCGGGATGCCGATGATCTCCACGGCTCCTGGATCGCAGGCGATTTTGCGGTAGGGAACAGGCACCATGTGGTCGAGACCGAGAGCCTCCGCTGAGAGAAGAAAAACAAGAATGTTTATTTAAGGACAGCGTAAAAAATTCAGACACCCTCAGATCTAACTGATGGTTATTTCACTGAAATTCTCTGGTTCCATTTTCCTTTAAATCAGGTCCATCATCCTAATCTTTCAATCCTTAGGATGTCCAATATCTGGGCCTTCACCATCTCTGTGATGCTTCCTTCAAATTTTCCATTCCTTTTTTCTTTTTTTAAATTTTTTTAAATTTAAAAAAAAAAGAGTTTTAAATATTTTTAAAAGGGTAAATTCCCGGGGTTTAAAAATCTTTGAAAAACTTTTTTAAAATTTCCAGTTAAAAACGGGCCCTTTTTTCCAGTTTGTGTCTTTTTGGTTTAAAATTGAAACAAGTTATTTATTTTTTTAATATATTATTTTTAATCTTTATTATTTAGGGCCACAAAAATTTTTTTAAACCTTAAATACATTCATATTTACCTTTTTGCATTTTTTCCTGTAAAATTGATTACACAAAGGGGTTTGAATGTTTAACTTGCTGTTTTTTCAAATGCTTTTTTTAAATTAGGGTGGGGCGGGATGCTGTGCGGGGCTCTAAAGGGTTTCAAAAGGAAAAAAAACAGGGGAAAAAAAATGAAACCACTAACCCCGGGGAAGAAAAGGGAGTGAAGTTTCTTACCCAAATTGATATTGTTTATAACCTTTCGGTACCAAACGGGGTTTTTCACCCCTCCCTTCGGGTTCCCGACGGGCCTTCACCCTTCCCCCCTCCCCTTAGCAGTGGGAAAAACCAACTTTGAAAGCCGGGGCGTTTTCCCTTTAAAAAAAAAGCTTGGTAGAGCGGGGGAACTTTTTAGAGTGGTTTGGAGAATTGAAAACTGAACGGGCCCTCTGATCACTCTCCTTGCAAGGGGTATCTTTCCAAAAAATTTCCTTTTGCCCATTTTTTTTTTCGGGTTTACTGAAAAAAATTTGTTTGGTTTTTAAAACCCAAACTTTAAATTTGGGGTCCTTCGAGGGGTTTTGCAAGATACCCGTCGACCCCCACGGGTAAGGGGAAAACCCAGATAACCTCCCGGCCCGCGAAAGGGAAAAACCCCTTTTTAGGGGGACTGGTCTCTTCCCTTTACAAACCCGGGGGGGTCCCGCCCGGTTGAAGCATTCGGGGCCCGAAGAAAATTGGAGTATTTTTTTTTTTAAAAAAAAGGGGGAGTGAGTGAATTATTGGAAAGAAAAAATTAAAAATTTAAAAATTTTTTTTTTGTTAAAAATATAATAAATTTTAAAAAATAAAAAAAAAAGAAGATAAAAAGTAAAGGGGCCGTGGGGTCAGGGAGTTTCCCCCTTTTGAAGTCCCTCGCGTGGGGCACGGGATTCCCCCTTTTGTATTTAAAACCCTGAAAATTTCTAGACTTTTATGGGTTTAAAAAAGTTTTTTTTAAAAAAGTTAAAAGTCCGCGGAGGGGCAGGGCCCCCTAGTTTGTAAGGGCAGGTTCCCCGAGTTGTAAACTATTAAATTCTGCATGGGGAAGGGGCGCCCTCTGGGGTTTAAAAAAAAGGGTAAAATTAAAACTGCCTTTGTGTGTGTGGGGTGTGTGTGTGAAAGGAAATATAAAACACTAGATTTCTGTTTTTCCCATACCAAAAAAAAAAAGGGGGTTAAAGGGTGGCTTTTGTGGATGTTTGTAGAAAAAGAAAACCCCCACCGAAAAGGGTTTGAAGTAAATTTTACCACAAAAGTAGTTTGTTTCACCATCTTGTCGAACCCCCCAGTTTTTTAGAACCCCAAAGGGTGTTAAAAACCCACGGGGGCCCAAAATTTGGGTTCAAAAGGGAAAAAGGGGCACAGTAAAAAAAAAAAAACAGAATTTTATTAGAGAAACCCTCCGGGTGAAAATTTAAAATTTGGAAAGCATTTCAAAAAGGGATGACCCATCAGCGTTAGAGCAAGGCCCTTTGGCAGGGATAAAAAAAATCGGTTTTAAAATGGCAAATTAAAGGAACCAACAAACAAAAAAGATTTGAAACAAAAAATAAAAAAAAAAGAGCAAAAATAAGACACTTTGATGCAAAAGAAGGTTTACATGCAAAACCTTGGTCGGATAAAATTGGCAGGTCAGAAAAAGGGAGGGAGAGAGGGAAAGTAAAAGAAAAAAAAAAAGGGAAAAAAAGGAAAGTTTCAGTTATGTTTCAAAAGAAAGGAGGAGGGATGAGTTTTGGCGGGGGCCCATTCTAACCTGTTACATCAAATACAAAATCCCCCAAACCTTTGGGAGGTGCGGGCCGCTGCAGCCGACCCCTCAGCTCTCTCACCCCGGGGGGACCCTCCTCGATATACCCCCCAAAACCCATGTAGAAAGCACCTTTTAAAAAATAGCCCCTACCACAAGCTGATACCTCCCAGGGATATTTTAAACTAGGCCCCAAAGGTTCTTTTGGGGGTTGGTAAAAAAAATTTTTAGGGGGTAAATTTTTAAAATGAAATTCTTTCCCCCACGGCCCACCCCAAAGTGATCCTGTGAACCGGGGAAGGTGAAGGGCAGTCCTCACGTTTTCCTTTAATAGAATTCCCAAAAAACCCCTTTGCGGGCCCGGGTTGGGGGGAATCCCCAAAAAACCACCCACAGTAATTTTTTACGGGAACCCGGGAACAAGAAGAGGGTTAGAAAAAGAAAGTAAAGGGAAAATTTCCCTCCCAAAAGGGGAATGGATTGGAAAATGTTAATTCAAGAATGGGAAAAATCGCCCACCACATAGAATGAGTGGGGGAAACCCACTCCAAAAAGTAATAAATCCCCGGCCCTGCATGCAGAAAAAGTCATAAAAATTTAAAAAAAATAAACAAAAAAAAATTCCATTTGGTTTTATAGGAGGAAAAAGGGGACACTGTGTTTTTTTCAGCAAGTCCCAGAGGTGGGGGGGGGGCCCTTTAAGGGGGAAAAGGGGTTTTTGGACCACCCCTCATGATAACCCAAGGAGCGTGTTTTGGGTCATGGGGGAAAAAAAAAGGCCCAATAGCCAAGACACTGTCAAATTTAAACCAAAAAAGCAGGAAGTTTCAAAGGCCATGGAAAAAACCTGGGGGGAAAATTTGACCCCCAACCATTTTCCCCTTTTATTTAAAAAAAAAAGGAAAGAAATTTTGGGGGGTTGGGGGAAAAAAAGGGTTGGGTTGAAAAAAATGGATGTTTTTAAAAAACCTAGAAGATTTTTTTTTTTTTAAAAAAAAAAATATAAAAAGAAATAGTTTTCTGTTTGGAAAGGGCACCCCTTTGGAAAAATTTTTGGTGTGAAAACGGACCCAGAAAAACCCCAAAAATAAAAGAAACCCAAAACCCTTGAAACATCCCCCAAAAATCCGTAAAAAAGATTTCCCCTGTGGGGTCCATATTCCACATTATTTAACCAGAAAGCAAAAGGGCACTTTTCGGGCAAGCCCCAAATTAAAATTTTGGGTTGTCGCGGGTGTTCTCCCTTCTCGGGGCCCCCAAAAAGGTTTTTTGCCAGTTTTCCCTTAAATTTTGGGAGAATCTACGGTTTTTAATTCCCCCTATCCCCCCCAGCACCCCCCAAAAAGGGTTTCCCTTCTGGGGGACCTGTGGGGTTTTGGGTCAAAAATATGGGGGGGGGTTTTTAACCCCTCCCCCAGCCACCCCCCTTAAACCCCCAAACCCCTTAAAATTTGAGTTTTTCCTTTTAAAATTGGGGTGCCAAACCTTTGGGGGGTTCGGGGGGTTTTCCTAGTGAAAAAATCCTTTTTTTCCTGTCTTTTTTTGGTCTATGGGAAGGGGGGGGGTTTAATTTGGGAAAAATTTGGGGGCCCTGGGCTTTGGAAAAGGGGCAGGGGGCCCCCCCCCCCCCTTTTGACAAGAAAACCTATAAAAAAAACCCCCCCCTTTTCTAACAGAAAAGAAAAGGGTTAATAAAAATAGACATTAAATCGCTTTGTTCTGGGTTTTTTTTTCCCTTTTTTCCCTTGTTCTTGCCCCTTTTTTCCTCTCTTTTTAAATCAGCCTTTTGGGTGGTTTTTTTTACCCCAAATTTTTTTTTTAAATCAAAAAAATTAATTAATATGCACAAATAAGGTTTTTAGTTTTTTTTAACTATACACTTTAAATTAGGAAACCCCCCAAACATTTTTTTCCTGTGTTCAGTGGTGCTTTGCGGGAACAATTTTTTAAAAACCAACCCAAATTTCCCAAGGTGCTGGCCCCAAGGAAAACCCTGAACGGGTCTTATTTCCGATAAACCCCTCAAGGCCCTTTTAAAAAAGGCTGTGCAGGGGGATCCAGCTTGTGGGGGTTTTTTTTGAGGGGCCCCTGAAGGGCCCCTTCCTGCCGGCGGGTTTTTTGTATTTGACTTTCCCTAAATGCCCATTTAACCCCTCTTGGGCCCGGGGGTTTGCTCGGGCCCCATTTTGCTTGCTTTAGAATAGGGGCCCTGGGCACCCCAAAATTTAAACCCATTTTTAATCTGGTTTTTTTTCCCAACATACCTTTTTTTTAAAATCGGGAAGGCGTTTCGGGAAAGGGAAGGACAGTCTTGTTAAAATTTGTAAGGGGGCCCAATGGACCCGAATCCCTACTTTATTACCTTTTGTGGCAAAAGACTTCCGGGTCCTGAAAAGACTATAAAAAAATTAATTGGATAAAAAAAAAAATTTAAATAAAAAAAAAAGGGGGGTTTGCAATGAAGGGGTGGAAACCCCGGAGGGGGGGTTGGGTTTTTGGGTTTTTTTGGGAAATTTTGGGTGGGGGGAAGCAATTTGGTTTTGGGGTTTTCTTGGTTTACTATATTAATGCATCCCCTTTTTTTTTTTTTTTTTTTTTATGCTTGTTTTTTGAGATCATTACTGATGAGGGGGAAATTTTTCATTGTTTAAAGAAAAAAAAAAAAGGGGGCATTTTGTTTACTTTAATAAACATTTTTAAAAACCTACCCAAACCCTAGATGCTTTTTTTCAATTTTTTGGAGTATCACCGGGGTTTAGGGAAAATGGGGAAAAATTAGGACGTTT